ATCTTTGACATCTAATCCCATCGATCTCGTCGCGGATCGTTCTGATGTGGTCGATCTCGCGATTGAGCTCTTCGGCTTGAGGTCGGGCGATCTATCGACTAAGATATAGGGTTTGGCTTTCGCCGATTTGGTTTTCACCATTGGATTTTCATCCAGCAGATCGCTCTTTGCAGAGCGATCTGCGGTGGCCCCCGAAGGGACCCTAGGAGGGAATTTGAGGTTTATCTTCCAGATTGATCTCTCGATCTTCCTCTTTCATTTTCATTTCATCAGAGCCCCTCCCAAAACTCTGATGATCTGAGGATCTTGTGCTTTTGCGTGTCTGCGTCGATCCCTTTGTCGCTGACACTACAATCCCAGGTTCTTGCTTGATCTTGACATCTTCGCCAGTGGACTCACGCTGAAATCCAGAGGCCTCAGAAGATCCGGGCACGCGCACCATTGTGGTGAAGCCGATCTCACAAAATTGCTTGTATGAGTGTCGATCTTCCACTTGCCCAGACTTGCCGACTCACGGAGGGGGTACTCCGATCCGTGCCTTGTTGTATGACCTTGTGCTCACCTTGTGTACCCGTCGGTTGGGCTGGCTTGAGCTCTTCGTAACGGCCTTGGGAGATGTCGATCTCGCTGAGAGGTTGGGTTGAGGGTTCGCTTCCGGTGCGGAAATCTTCACACCACGAATGGGGTTCTGCGATCCCGATCTTGGATCGCACCGATCTTGATTTGTCTTCGAGATCGGGGTCTTTGCTGTGCGGAAATCTTCACTCAGCAAATAAAAGTCCTGCGTCAATCTTGCCTTGGGATCGGTCCGATCTGGTCTTGGGATCGGCCGATCTTGCCGGAAGTGCGCAATTTGGGTAGATCGGTGTCTTGTTTCGCCAAGATGAAACGTGCCGATCTGTCCAGGGGATCGCTTCGATCCTGCTCGGTCTTGTCTTGAACGCCTTGTCCAGATCTTCTGACCACTTGAGCCGTCTCGCGATCCTGTGTCCAAAATCCTTTTCCTTTTCCGTTGTGTGCTGCTACCCTAGCAGTTGAGTTGAGTGTGAGTACTTGATCGATCCGGGCCAGATATCCCGGGATCGCTCTTCTCGATCTTGGCCAACAATCCAAGATCGGTCTTCTGTGTCCCTGTAACACGCGTGCCTTAACCCGCCGGGGAAGCCAAATCAATCTTGCCTGGAGAAGAGGGGAGGATTACGTGCGTCGTGAGCAGAAGAAGTAGAGTTCAAGTCTGTTTATTAACCAACCAAATTACTATCCAACCTACCCTTAAGCCTATTCTTAACTATAGGTCACTCTTCAAACCGATATCGCCTTGAATCTGGATCGCCCCCTTGCCACGTGTCGAAATTTCGTGCCCTGTACTCCAATGATAGCGCCAATATTCCCGATACCGTACCTGAACGCCAAAAGAGGACCAAATCCCAAATGGGGTACCAAATACCCATTTTTGGTACCCAAAAGCCCAAAATAGTGCCCAAATGCCGAAGGCGTCTAAATCCATTTTGCGACGTCAATTTAACCGGCTTCCACTGGCTCTTTCGATCTGAACTTTTGAGACATCACTCATGGACCTTCAACAAGCATGTTTGTCATGATCCAAAATTCTCATCAACGATACATCCATAATCAGTGGGGATCATGACCGATCTGATGCCCAATTCGAGATTGTTGAGGATCGACACAGTACAATCCGGCCATATATGTTCTTCCGTTCATTGTGTGCACTCCGATGCTTTATCAAAATGATTCTGCTTCAACATCCACATCCTTGCCTCTGATCAGCCTTCAGAGTGGTCGTTCGGTTCAATCCAGTCCCTCATCCCAGATCGCACCGTGGAAATTACCCCTTGCTACGCCCCGTCTCAAACCACGTCGCATCGCCTGGTCCCAGGCGTACTTTTCTCAAATGATTCTGCTTCAACATCCACATCCTTTCCTTTGATCAGCCTTTAGAGTGGTCGTTCGGTTCAATCCAGTCCCTCGTCCCAGATCGCACCGTTGGAATCACCCCTTTCTACGCCCCGTCTCAAATCACGTTGCATCGCCTGGTCCTAGGCGTACCTCTTCCGCCAGTGGGTGACATCTTAACTGGGTGGAAACCGATCCACGTCCCATCATTTGATTAGTGACTTTACCACAGTTACACCTTCGTCGCAGAGTCATATCCCATCACCCGGTCCCAGATCCTTGTCCCAGATTGTTCCATGTAAATCGTTCCAGATCGCTCCATCCCAGGTCGATCCATACCCATTAGTCTAACGACAGTTGGATCGGTTCGCCGATCCCGTTAAGATCATCTTCCACCTCCGTATTGGATCGCCGAGTCTCATGGCCTCCTTTTCCACCAGTAAGCGGCGCTTTAAAGATGTGGCCACCGATCCTCTTACAAAATTTGAGTAGTGACTTTGCCACAGCTGCTTCTCGTGGAAGATCCATCCGCACGACCCTTGATAACTCTGAGCGAAACAAGGTTGTAGATTTTTATTACTTTGCAAGCTAGTCGATAGATCAGTAACGGCATGACATGTATACGGTCACATCGAGTATGGAAGGAGCCCATTGAGGACACCAAAAAGAGATTTCTATATTTCGGAGCGCGTGCAACGACCGTTGATGTGTATGGAGACATCGCCACAGTAAGGACCGGAAGTTGACAAGCATCAAGCGTACTTTAGTGGTTGAAAGGGCATTAAATACTGTCTCACTTAATTTCACTGATCAGTTCAGCGCAGTGCATCGACAAATATCAAAGATCGCATTGCAGAAAATGTACAACATATATTCAATGGCGATTAATGACATGCTAATACACAATGATGATGATGAAAGTTAATACTACAGTAGTGCCGCAGTTAAATGTGCAGGGTCCAAAGCTTGCTTTGCTTGAACGTAGTTAGGAATCCATCTTAACAGAGGACAGAATTGAGTTATCGACTAAATACGAGCCCGGGTGGCAATTGTGAAGACCAGGAGAGCCAGCAAAAGATCTTGTACGCGGAAGGCCAAGGGCTCACCAGCGCGTGAAAATGGATCCAATTAAAAGTTGAGCAGTGTCATTAAATATAACAGCAGCATCTAAATTTTGAATATGTGGATAGCAATTATGTTGCAATACCTAGTCACGAACAGCCAACACCAAGAGCTAGTACAGCACGGTTTACCCCTGACGGGGTCTACAGCAACGCCGTCAGAAAAATACTACTCACCGAACCGAATCCATTGACGACTCCAATGCCAACAACGCACTAAACAGCAATATCTTTACCTTCAAAAGAGTTCAGCTTACAGGTATGTTTAGACGAGGCTTCGGTGGTGATGTAATCCCACCAGCTTTTCGGGCAAAACAAATAAAAAAAAATAATTGGAACATTAGGAGGCATGCGTATATGCGCTCAAATCAGGTACTTTGTGGTTTATAAGAACAATAATACGTCAACAGAGTTACAACATATAGTAGTCGATGTGTGTTTAACCAGAGTGCTCTCTCCGTGCCTCCATTTCCTATCCCTTAAAAATCTTTGTCGCTGGCAATCGCCGTCCCAGCCAATGCGAATACAAAGTAAAATTGTAAATAGTTACAGTTATGGAAAACAATTTATAATTAAAAAGAATCAGGGTAAGAATGATCAATTTTCGGTGATATAGGTATGTTTAAACTTTTTTTACTTTAATTATCAGCGGTTGTCACTCATAGATAACTAAATAGCTTAGTGGTCAAGTAACGAATCAGTGCAGTTCGAGAACAAGAGAGCTATTTTTTGGTCATATGGGGTGTAACGGGGTGAGAGCCCCCTTGATTTGAGTTGCTGTAAAGGTCTGACGAGGAAGCTTTAGGTAGCGCGCAATGAGAAAGCGTGCTCTAAAAAATAATTTTAGCGCTGGTTTATTATATTCGATAATCTTCATCCTAAATCATTCCACTTACGAGCGCTGTAGCGGAGCTACACAGCTCCTTAATTCAGAGGAAGACTTAACGCTCTACGAGCAACTTAGTTCCAAAGAACTAACAACTTTACGAGTCAACAAGCTTTACAGCTTCAGATCCCTGTTCCAGGGGACCTAACGATTCAGTGAATCGACAGCACTTCAATAGTAGCTACCTCAAGGAGGTGTTGCTAACTCTTAGTGATCAGAGATCAACGATCAAGACGGCTCGCAAGCCACGTGTCTTTCAGATCAAAATGGGAACTGATTTTATTTCTTTTGTTATGGCCTATAGAATATCTTAATCCTACTCAAAGATCTTTCGTACCTAATGGCTGATACTCGTCAGCCCCTACAAATCAATAAGATATTCTATATCACCTACACAAAGGGGTAACCTCAGGTGTGTAACACCTCTGGTACAAAGTACCATAATTTCGTGCAACCCCGTTCCCCCCTTCCCACCAGACTGACGTTTGCCAAAACGTCAATCGAACTTGTGTTCTCAGCGAGAACAGTGCGCGTACGGTGAACCTCACGGTAACGTACGCTCCAGCACGATGTGCTCATCCCCAAACGAGTCAAAGGCTCTGTGTGACTACTTCGGAATAGAGGAAGAGGTGGACTATGGTAGCGATACCAGTGTCCGCGGTGATACAGGGACAATGTCTGGCTCACTGATGCCTGAGGCACAACTTTCGAACACCCCAAATCCGTTCGCTCAACGTGGAGGTGCGAGCGCGCCACCAGCGCAGCATGCAGCATCTGGGTCTGATGAGACTATCATCACGAACCCGCTCGATGAGCAACAACAACTGCTTGTTCAAAGAGAAGAAAACGCTCAGCGTTATGCACAAATGACTGCAACCCTTGAACGCCAGCGTGACTATGTGTTCACCCCACCCAGTGTGGAGGAACGTCTACGTCAAGCGGCCGGCCAAACATAGGCAACGTGGGTCATTGGCCATGGGCCTAAGACTCCTGAGGAGGTGGTGAGCTGCCAGGCACTTCGTGAGAGGTACCTGGAGCCGCACCTAACGACTCAAAGTCAATACAAGGCACGCCTTGACATGCAAGCACGTGGTGCACCGGTTCCACCGATGAAGGGTATACCCATTCTCCTGCTCGCAGGCGAGACAGCGAGTGAAGAAGACGATGCCTTTGTTAGCTGGGTGCACTATGTGCGTCGCCTCAGCAACATTTTTGCTCTAAGGGCTAGTGCCCATGCGGCGGATGTGCGTCTCGAACGCAAGATTCGGTACGATTATGCCAAGCTTAAGGCCAGAGGCCAATTGCGCAAGCGCACACGCTATGCTTCGGCTACTAAGGTAGACGCGAGTGCTGGTCAGTCTGTGACCAACAACCCGCCAAACCGCACCACTAGTGGTGGGGAACGGCCTCGGCCTCGAGATGACCATGGCCACGATGATCAAAAGCATCCAAAGCATACGGGCAGTCTTGCCGAAGGGGTGCCTCAAATTCCCAAGAGTTTTCAGACTCAGGGTACCCACGCCACTTTACCAGATACTGGTATTGGCCCTGACGACGACGTCGTTTCAGTAGTCTCTCGACATGAAATTGACGACACCCATGCTCATCGAGCAAAGTCGGTGGCGGCCGGTGTACCGGTGGAGGCCCACGAGAAATTGGTTCTCGAAGTGAAGGGTCTCTAAGAGGCCTTGGGTAAGTCCCAGTGCATGCTGGATGCGATGCAAAGCCGCCTTCAGGCGATGGAGCAAGCTCACACTCGGAGCGAGGCTCAGTTGGACTTGCTGATTCGTCTACAGCAATCCGGGGCAGTGCCCTTGTCGTCGGCGCAAGCGCCTCCAAGTTCACATGGGAAGGATCCCGGTACGGCTTAAGTAAGCCTACGTAGAACACTGGATGTGTGCGCAATTTGCGCGGGAGGTTTAGCGTATACGCAAGTCCCTTCTTGGCCGTGACCGTAAACGGTCCAATAAAGCGTGGACGCAACTTTGTCTTAAAGACAGCAGACACTACATTTGTAGGTAGATTTTTAGCATTGAGTAGTACTTGGTCTCCGACCTCATAACGTTCAATACAATTTCTGCCTTTGGCATCAGCTTGTTGTTTTTGGGTATCTTGGCTATCAGCCATTGCGTCACGCACATGTCTTAAGACATTTAATCGCGTTGCGAGAAACTCGCTTACCTGTTTTTGAACAGTAGCAGGGCTGATATCAGCAAGCCGATCGGCAACCTCTCCCCCACCAAGCCCTGATTCACGTAGTGATAGCGTTAACGGAACGCGAGGGTGAGTGAGACCGTTTATTTAGAACGGAGTAAAGCCTGTTGAGGCATGAACAGAGTAATTCAACGCAAACTCAACAACAGGAAGCATTGAGCTCCAACGCCTAGGCGTATCAGCGCAAATACTGCGCAAAATGTCGTTGATGACGCGGTTTACACGCTCAGTTTGATTGTCGGTCTGCGGATGATCCGCTGTGGACATGTCCAACCGAGTGCCAAGCACCTTGAAGATAGACTTCCAAAACTTCCCAGTGAAGCGGGGGTCTCTATCAGAGATAATTGCCACCGGCAAGCCATGTTGGCGAAACACACGGTCGATAAACAGCTTTGCTGTACCTTCAGCATCGATGCTATCCGGCACAGCCGCTAAGTGAGCCATCTTGCTTAATCGATCAACAACGAGAAAAATACCTGTGTTGCCTTCCGAATCTTTCGGTAGGCCAAACACAAAATCCATGCTCATGGACTCCCGACAACCAGTGGGTACTGGCAAACTAGCCAGCGGCGCCGCCGCATGTGCCGAGGGTTTTACCCGTTGACACGTTTCGCACGTACGCACATATTTGCGCACCCACTTATAAAGTTTGGGCCACCAATAATTTTGGCTCACCGAGCTATGAGTCTTCTCACGACCGAGATGATTACTTAAAGAAGTATCATGTGTCTCATAAGGATTCGATACTTTAATTCCTCATCATGAGGTACAACGATACAAGGGTTGTCCTCAATATCCGTGCGATAGCACAACAGGCCATTATCGATGGAATATCGATGTAGCCTCGCACGTAAACGTGCCGACAATTCTATGTCCGAGTCTTTAAACGCATTGCTCCCAAGAGCACGTAGCAAAGCTACACACTGATCGTCCTTGGCATATGCCGCACGAATTAAGTCAGGGACTGACGACGATAGAGTCGTAACATGAGCAAGCTCATAGTCAGGTCGACGCGATAGCGCATCAGCCAAAGCGTTTTGCTTACCTGGCTTGTACTTCACCTCGAAGTTATATTCGGCAAAGAAGGAAAGCCAACGAGCCATTCTCTGTGAGAGATGAGGCGACTGTGTCGCAGTGCGCAATGACGCATGATCTGTATAGATCACAAACGGCTTAGAGCCAAGCAGATGGACTCTGAATTTGACAAGAGCGTACTTCATAGCAAGTAGCTCTTTGTCATGAACAGGATAGTTCTTTTCAGCAGCTTCCAGCTGTCGAGACTCAAATGCGATGACGCGTTCGCGTCCGTCGACATCTGTTTGTAACAGAGCACTGCCTATGGCAAAGTCAGATGCGTCACAGACGACACTGAAAGGCCGACCAGAATCGGGCAAAGCCAATATTGGCGCATGAAGGAGACTCTCCTTAACTGCTTCGAAAGCATTATGCTCGGTGTTACTCCAACACCAACCCACATCCTTTTTAAGGAATTTGGACAATGGCCGAGCCATATCTGCGTAATTTGCACTGTACTTATGTAAGTAATTGGCAAGGCCAAGCCACTTACGCAAGTCCTTTTGGTTCTTGGGGACTGGCCAATCGACTATGGCTTTTACCTTAGCGGGATCCGCTCGAAGGCCTCGCTTCCCAATGAAGCACCCTAGAAAGGGAATCTCTTCTGCACCAAAGATGCACTTCGATGCGTTCGCATGCAGCTTATTCTTCCGCATACACCCGAGCACCGCTCGTAAATGATCGATGTGATTATCCACATCTGATCGCCCATTCATTGCACGACTATGGACAAAAATGTCATCAAAGTACGTTTGTGCATAGCCTCGATGAGGTCGGAATAGTTGCGTTACCAACCGGTTAAATGTAGCCGGGGCGTTAGATAGCCCTTGTGGCATAACGAGCCACTCCCAAAGCATACCGCTCGGAGTACTCACCGCTGTTAGCGGAATATCGCTTGCTAGCATGAGCAGTTGGTAATAACTATCGACTAAGTCGAGTGCACTGTACAGTGTACATCCTGCCATATTGTTCTGAAGAACATCCTTTCTAGGAATAGGCGTCTGCGCCGGTATAGTGGCTGCATTAAGCTTATTATAAGCATGCACAATACGCCACTTTCCATTTGGCTTTCTGACACAAAATATCGGTGTTGAATGGGGAGATTTACTCTCACGAACCATTCCAGCCGCGTGCTTAGCACGAAAGAAATCGTCAATGACGTCGCACTGTTCTTTAGGCAAAGGCCACTGCCGTGTTACACATTTTTTAGTTCCAGGAACCAAGTCAATCTCATGACGTACACCTCTATCGGGAGGTAAGGCAGAAGGTGGGTTGTGACACACCACATCTTAAAATTCCTTAACTAAATGATAGAACGGATCCAAAGGATCTTTAAGGATCGAAGATCCACTTCGTGCACTTAGTGCCGCCTTTGTATCCTCTAGGACAGACTCATCCATTAACGAGGAAGAGTTCAACTCAGTATCAGGTCTAATGACCGCTAACTCGGATAACTCTCCTGCCTTCAAGGCCTGGCTAAGCTCGCCATCAGACATTTCGTCTAACTCACAAAGAGCATCCACGGATGGAAGGGTTTCAAGGCAAACACTGCCATCAACCCGACCAGTCACTCCATTAACAAGTGTATATAGTGTATCACTATTATCGCTATGTGACTGTGAGGACACCTGGCACTTAAAAGTAGCTACCCGGCGTCTCGATCGTCTCTTCGAGACCTTACTCCCCTTAGGGGTCGGGACAATATTGTCCCCATGGTTACTACCAACCATAGTACGCTCTACACGAGAGCTTTTGTCTTGACCGACATTAGGTGTGGTGCCCTCACGGCCGTCCACACTATACGGCGTATCGCCAACAGTGTCATTACTGACATTAGGTGTGGTGCCCTCACGGCCGCCCACACTATACGGCGTATCGCCAACAACGCCATTACCGGCTATAAGCTTGGTGCCCTCACGGCCGTCCACACTATACGGCGTATCGCCAACAATATCATTATTGACATTAGGTGTGGTGCCCTCACGGCCGCCCACACTATATGGCGAATCGCCAACAACGCCATTACCGACGTTAAGCGTGGTGCCCTCACGGCCGCCCACACTAAATGGCATATGGCCAAAAATGTCATTACCGACATTCAGTGCGGTGCTCTCACGGCCGACCGCACTCGGTGTAATTTCACGTGCCACCATACACACATCAAAGGAATCACGTCCTTGATCAATCGGCTCTAGGCCAACCGTGCTTTCAGCATGCAGTGACTCGTTATCACAACGAGTATCACTCAACGGAGTACGCGCCGTTTCACTAGTTTTAGACGAGCTAGGCTCGAAACTTATGTTTGTAACATTGGAGTTAGATAACTCGGACATTCCAATATCCATCACATTGACATCTTCTGTCAAAGGCTCGCACCAATAGCGCTTCTGTTGCCTAGCAAAGGTGGGTTCATGACTCTCCAAAGCTTCGCTAGGAACATTACGCGTAGCGCCTAAGGTCTTAGACCTCCAATCAATCCATGGCTCATGGCGCTCAAGCCAAGCCATACCTAGGATGAGATCATATCTCGAGTCCAAATCTAGGACAAGACAGCGCTCAATACTGTCAAAGTCTAAAAACTTTATACCTAAGTTCAATGGAACTTTAGGCACCGTTACGCGACTTCCAGTCACTAAACGAACCGTGATAGAATCACCCTCATGCGCTGTAAGCGCCTCAGCATAACGCTGACTTCCCTCAAGGGAACGGCGTTGAGCATAATTGCAAGACGCTCCAGAATCGATCAATATCGACCAAGGCTTCTCGAAGCCCTTAATTTTCGCCTCGGCGACCAACAAGCCAGACTTGTATCCACGCACCATACCCGTAGGTATGATACTCTTTGGGGCTAAGCCCTGCATTCCTTTACCTTCTAAAGGTGTAACAGAACATAGTTCTTCCCCAGTAGGGCGCCCCGCGCCTACTGGGCGTCGGCATTTCCCCGTGCCATGCCAGACTTCTGACTTGGGGTCGAGTGTTGGCTCGTAGCCTGGCGTTGCTTACGCAAAGGGCAACCAGGCCGCAAGTGTTTAGTGCTTCCGCACGTAAAGCATCGTCTTACAACGTGTTGCTGCTCAGCAGCTTGAAGCTCAGCTTCACCTCCATCTTCAGCATAGCTGAGATCCATCGGTTCCGGCCTATTATAGGCAGTGGTACCCGAATAGTTTGCTCTCACAGAGCGAGGATTGTATCCATTTCAACCAAGTCTGGCCGACTTGAAGTTATGCTCAGCATTAAGAGCAATTCTCACAGCCTCTTCAAACGTAGAGGGGTGAACCCGAAAAACCTCGGTTCTGGCAATGCCAGTACGTTGACCCTTCATGAAGATAGTCACATGGACTGCTTCAGGCAGAGGGTCAGACTGCATTGCAGCCATGAGCGTTCGCAGCTCTTGGACATAGACCGATAATTCATTCTTACCCTGGCGGGTAGAAAGAAAGCGTGAGCGCACGCGGTAAGCCTGGTTAGGTGGAGAAAACACCTGTACCAATTGTGACTTGAGCGACTCCCATGTGGGAAAAGCTATGTCCACCGACGTGCTACACGTCAAGGCCCATTCTCTAGCTCTACCATCGAGCTTCGAGATAGCCAGCGAGACCTGTTGATGGTTAAGCGTGATCAGACCTGATCTCATGGCCATCTCGATCTCACGGATCCAGAGGATGAGGTTCTCACCCTCCTTACCGGAGTAGTTCTTCACTTCCACTCTAAGTGGACGAGGCTTAGCCTCTTCGTCTGGTACAGACACGTAGCTTGTAGGCATAGCCGACGCTATTTGGTCTTGGACCTGCCCTAAAAGGGTCGCTTCATACTGCATGAAGCTTTCAACATGTGCATTAAGCACTTCAGGACCTTGTGAAACAAGGAACTCCACGTACTCTGGACCCAAAGATGCGGTCAGCTTATTAAGCGCGACCTTTTGGGCCTCAGATAGGGGAGTGAGGTTTTCCATCCTCACAGAGGATCAGTCTTAAAGACTCAGGCGTAGATTGACTACTAGCGCTACCAAGTGTAGCGGAGCTACACAGCTCCTTAAGTCAGAGGAAGACTTAACGCTCTACGAGCAACTTAGTTCCAAAGAACTAACAACTTTACGAGTCAACAAGCTTTACAGCTTCAGATCCCTGTTCCAGGGGACCTAACGATTCAGTGAATCGACAGCACTTCAATAGTAGCTACCTCAAGGAGGTGTTGCTAACTCTTAGTGATCAGAGATCAACGATCAAGACGGCTCGCAAGCCACGTGTCTTTCAGATCAAAATGGGAACTGATTTTATTTCTTTTGTTATGGCCTATAGAATATCTTAATCCTACTCAAAGATCTTTCGTACCTAATGGCTGATACTCGTCAGCCCCTACAAATCAATAAGATATTCTATATCACCTACACAAAGGAGTAACCTCAGGTGTGTAACACCTCTGGTACAAAGTACCATAATTTCGTGCAACCCCGTTACAAGCGCCCTCCGGGCTACGAGATCCGCTCAAGTAAAGGTCAGATTACAATGGCTCATAATGGGATTTTACCCACTTCTCGGCACCATAAGGAAACTACGCAATTCACTTGCTATCTCGGGTACAGTGTTACCTATCGGTGTATATGCATTCATAGTTAAAGCTAACTGATAGAGATGTCTGCCAACAAACACTTACCAGATCGTGTAACGGTAACGCCCCGTTACATCACCCCCACTATTTATAGAACTAGATGCAACAGAACAAATGGAAGTGAAGTAAAACAAGCAAAATAACAAATGGAACATGCAAAAAAACAAACGGAAGTGAAGTGACACCGCGCTCGACTCCGTGAAGACAGCATCCCTCAAAATCACCAGGACATCATGCCTTCAGGAGCGCAAACACGAGTGCACACCTTACTTACAAGACTTGTGGACGCAGCGATTGAGAAGCTGACAACGATATCGCGAGCACCATGCCGACGGTGTTATAAGCCGTGGCGGAGATTATTTCGCGGATATTATACGCTGCAGCACTGCAAATGTGGAAACGTTACAGCTTTAGTAGCTTCCAAAAATCCGCGAAGTGAAAGCGAGATGCACAAATTTTGTTAGCGATGGAGAGGAAAGCGGGTCAAGCCGGTCTCGGCTACTTTCGCCGTGATGCCGGAATCTTTAGATAAGATAGGTTAGCATTCGTGTTTCGTAGAACGTTGTTTCAACTCTATCATTATTGCTAGAAAATTGGAAAGCTTAGGCATCAACACGCGGTTCTTGAACTCAGTGAGAAGGTCTGCGACTTTTTTGGACTGCCGATACGAGCTAATGTTTCGTGTATTGTCGAGAAGGATGTCATGACAATTGAATGGTGGAACCAGGCCCGCGCTGAGTGGTATTAATTTTCCAAGAATGTTATAAAGAGTAACGGGAAGCGCACGTAGACATGTAGATACAAGAGATTGCTGAGCCAGTGGCAAGGAGCGCGCTTAAATAAACATGCAAGGTTATCGAAGCGAAGCACGGTGAGACAGAGAAGGGGCGATCAGCAAGTACTCCGGCATTGCGGTAGCCCATTTCCTGCAATTGCGTTTGCCCCGGTCTCCACTGAATTTACGATATCAGGACCTTTTTAAAAAAAGAGCTTGTGGATCCCATGAGTCTCTACCGTAGCCTTTGCCGCTGCCATCCTAATGCATTGAGTGAAAGATTATTTGATAGAATCTAAGGCCTTGTGTTTAATCTCTGGAAGAATCATTTTTGAGACGTTAAAAATTGTCGACATGTTGAATCCCTCCAGAATGCTTATATTGAAGAGGAGGCGCTTCCGGTAGAATCGCATCCGAGAAGATCCAAAATACATGTCGTGCCACAGAAAAAGGGGTCAGAGAATACCCCGCCACGTGGCACGACAAAAATCTGGCTCGCCTAATTTTATAGTAAGAAACTGTAGCTCTTCATGCGAATACAGAGTTCGACATTATTCGTAACAAGATCTCTTGTCCGGTGTAATTCTCCAAGTACAAGTGATGTCCCGTCAGAAATCACTTGAAAGTGCCTATTTGCCACTCACTCGTCCAATATCCGTTTACCTTTCACGCACCGTATTTTAAAGATAGCTGCTTACTATGAAAGCGGTGCGGTCGTCACCTCGGTCGTCCTGCCCCTACGTGGACGACAGCGCCGAGTTCGCGGCAAAGCGTATATAGGTGCCTTGATCTCTAGACGCCACTATATTTCTCGTGAACATCGACGATACTTGTATCAGTTTGAAATCCATGCTCGTATCGAAATGATTCAGCGACATACCTATAATGTTCAGTGTCCAGTCATGATATTGGTGGAATCGGTAGAGTACGCAAGTAAGCAACCTGGTAACGAAATACAAATGCCGGAAAATTGTAGAGAAAGGCCTCGTAGAAGTGACTAAAAGGCCGAATCTTCGCCATTAATTCGGTTGATATGTCTAGCCTCTCCGAGAACACTAACGAGTACAGTTCGGCAAAGCGCCCAAGAAATATTGTCTCTTAATTAAATTTTTGTCTTGAAGAATCTGCCCCATTTGAATTAAACGCATTTCCCCCGCTGTCCCGCAGACATGATGTGTTCTTCATAGCTACGTATTCTGTCCATAGATGGTCAAATTTTTCATCTTTAACCACTTCAGCTCGCATACCGACACGGAGATTGTCATTAAGTAATCACCGATATCAACTGTAACACTGACGTCGGTGTTATAGTTGACCTCATCTCGTAAAGTGAATGAGATTGTTTTTCTACAGACTTCCTAGACGTTCCTTGGCGCAAACGCCGAGCCGTCAAAAGTCCAAAAACTATGGAACTGGTTTGCCAAAGATTCGATCGATAATTTAGGTGTTTGTCTTCATATTAATAAGGCATTATGTATGGTTGACCAGACCCAGTAGAGCCACATAGGCAGTCCTCATTCGATATTTGGGAAGAGGCTCTTGTATTCTCAGTGTCCTACAGCCAATTTCACCATAGTGTTCAATTTACGTTTGGATGCACGGCACAGCGAGGCTACCCTGGTGTAATGGGAGTGAGACCAACTCAGAAGAAAACCAAGGCTATCCCTTTAACCATCCCGAAACCCCAAAAACAGTCCTAAAAAACGCTCTTCAACCGGGTCACAACATATAAATAGACCAGTACGGCCGTGCTAGCAAAGTGATCTTGGGCGCCGCAATGGCACTGTCAAGCCGAGCCCTAGGTTCCACCGTTTGGATCAGCTCTCTGGCTAGCACAAACTGAGTATTGGAAGATCGTATGAATTTTCTAGTTTTTCGCCACCGTAACCTGATGGCCCATCAGCACACCCAAATTTCGGCAAGACTTACGTGATGTCAGCAAAATAATACCACAAGTGATCGTAGGCAGTGCCGACTTTCGAGAGCCCAAATATACGATGATATACTCTTCGCGATTCATCACTTGGCATGAACGCTAGCGGTATTATCAATAATTAATACAAAGTGCGAAATCGCACTCTGATCGCGCAGGTAGACAGCCTTATCATCAGCGCACCCGTGACTTAAATTTAGTGCTCCCTTTACCAGATGTAAGAGGCAACCCGCAAATTTCCAGTCTCTCTATTTCACCAGAAAATCACTATTGAGGACGAGGCTAAAGAGAATTGGCTCAAGCGGGAACCCCTTTCAATCTCCACACTTAATTCACCTTCGGAGTTTGTGGTTTTCATTAAAAAAACTGACATTTGGTGCTGCGATGTAATGTCGCCACCACCAAAACAAATTAAGACGAAAATTTAAGCCATTACAATGCGGGCAGTAGGTAAAAGGTTGCAGTGTGTCGTAAGCCTTGACAAATTTAAGTAGCAGAACGATACTCCCGTGCATATCGCTTTCTTCCCTTTCCGCACTACGTACTCCGACGATCATGTGTCTAGAGCTGTTTGGATCAAAAGCTTTGGGAAGAATCCAGCTTGGGCTAGGGAAACTATTTGTGACAGTAATGGCCGCATTCTAACCGACATACTCTTGGTAAATATCTTAATTCACTGTTGAGTAAAGCGGTCGGGCGATGATCAAGGGGTGAAGCTGAAGCCACAGTTTTCTTCAGCCACTGAATGTGTGCGCCCCTAAATGTCTCCATCAGCATGTCTCTCTCCATCTATCTGGTGTAAAGTGCTGCAAAGATAGGTGCAATCTCGATTGCGAAGTCTCGATAGAAAGTGTTTTAAGCTCGTACGGCTCCGCAGCTTTCCTAAGTTTTAGTCTTTTCAAGGCCCTACATACATCGAATGTCGATGTTGAAGATGCAAAGGCTAAACCATTAATTGGGGCAGTCCGGGATACTCGGTCCAGAAACGCCTCTATAGAGTCGGAAGGGTATAAAGAGGTTTTCACAATCTGTTCCTAGCCATCTGTAATTTCTTCAGCAAGCACCTGTGACCGATTCGACCCGTACGTAGCTTTGCCAACCAGGCGCATGACAGTGTTGTCCTAAAATGTAGTCGCCACACTGGCGTAGAACCGCATTAATGTCTCGTCCGGAGATTAAGTGTGCTGCACTGACACCGCTCCTTCTTGGCCTCTGCCAAAAGTGATGACACTCCGAGACATTTTACAAAGTTCCTCCTTAGTATCGACGAGGCTACAGATGATTGCATCACATTTGGACACTCACTAAGGAATAATCAGATGAATTACCTCAAAGAGCGCTTCACCCTGCTGAACATGTAAACGACGTATCCTCTATCTATATCACTTCGTCAAACCTTGGCGCTCCTGCTCAGTGGTAGCCAACGTAATTAGACGAGCTCCAATTATCTACGTTTCCCAATGGTTGCCAAGACGTATGGCCTAAAGATTGTTGGGACCGAAGTGGTTCCACCCACTTGACGATGCGTTATGGCAATCGCATCAGTGGTTTTGCTTATCGCGGTCATTTGGACGCAAGCTGGATCCGAATATACGCATTGTGGCTTTCAAATGCGCACATCATGACTCGGCGTCCC